AACTGAGATAATTACTTGTGTAATTATTGAAAGCAATTCATAAGAAGATCAAAATGTTTTTGTTTGGCATGTCCCAGAAATGTCCAGGAAAACAATCTGCTGTCCCTGTGGCAATGTAATACTTCTGAGGAATGCTGGAAAATCCAGTCCAGGACCTGTAATTTTATTTATCTACCAAACAAGTATAGGCAGTGGCACTGAAAGCTTTTCCTTCACATTTCTGCTTTCACTGTTGGGAAGCTGGTTAGTATTGTTGGGTTTTCTTATCTCATATGGGGGCATGAAGGAAAAGATGCTTATGCTACTGATTTTCATAGCTGCCTTTAAAAGAAAACTAGAAAGAAAAATCTGGAAGGTAGAAAGTGTACTGAGGAAAAAAAATGTTTTCTTCAGCTCCTGGCTGCTGCTGTTTATATCTGTCCTCCTCATAAACATGAAGCAGCTAATGGAACAGATAATTCTCACTTTTAATAAAAAAATAGGTTTTAATTTTCTTAGTGTTTTTTCTGTGAGCAATTTATAGAATTCTGAAAAAAGGTCCTGAAAATTTTGATGAGATAGGGCCAACAAGATGCCTTTTTGTACTTCTTCTGACTTGCAAGATTATTCTCCTTTCTTCATAGTCAGGGTTTATTGAGTTTATGCAGACATCAAAGAGGCTTACAAAGCTCAGTCTGAAAAAGACAGTGATCTAAAATATGTTGGCAAAAGGTAGAATTCAGTATCATGAGGGTTTCACTCAAATCCTTAACTAGCAAAAATGTGATGAGGTATATCAAATACCAGAATTTAGAGCAGGGGCAACACATCAGAGCAAAAGATCTGTAATTAGTTTCAAGAGTGGAGATAAATATGGTAGATCAGAAGCAGGAAGACCAGACGGCAGCAGCATGCTCAGAAAAACTGAAGGCAAAAGGCTAGAGATACAGGTACTGGCTGTCCCAGTTTTTTTGTTGTCAAACACATTCCTACTGGGTTGTAATATTGCAATCAGTGGACCAGTTTCTAGTTTTGTGCTCATATTCATGCAAACTTCATGAACTTAGGAGGCATTGTGAACATGACAGCAATAAATTAATTTAAACCTGGAGTTCAACTGGAAATACTATATTATAGAATTAATGGCTGAATTTTTTGTTTTGAGTTCATAAATAACTACATTTTCAGGAAGTGGAAGTAGTGAGCTTAGTGCATCTTGTGCATCTGCTTTTTTAACCTGATTTCTTAATGAAATGAGGCTGTCTCTGTTATTCTTGCTTCTGATGGCTTTTGAACATGACACGTTTCAGCAACATTTAACAGAGAGCAAAAGTCTCAAAGCAGTATAATCATTAGAACTGTCATGAATGTAGAAAGCTGGGTGAAGGAAAATGTTGGATTCCTCCTTGTATTGACAGGCACATAGTATCTTTTGGACACCAGAGAGCTCATGTGAACACGGAGCTTGAAGACACAACTCAGGAAACCTGTGGGACATCTGCCTCCTTGCCCTTTACTTGAGAGGTATATAAATAAGGGAGGGAACCCAGAAGGATGCAAAGCATTGAAGAACTTGTTTAATCAAAGAATATAAAGATCAATACCTTGGAGAAAGGTCTCTGACTTAATGAAAGTTTGGTTTAAGCTGGATGTTAAGCTCAAGCTGTTCTGCAGCATGGCTGTGGAAAGGAGGCACTTGGTGAGAATGTGAAAGCAGGGGGACTACTACAGGTGGCCTAAGTTCTCAGTGTGGTTGTATAGGAGGAAATGAGGCTTTTGAGGTGAAAGGTCCACGTCGTGAAGTTACAGGGTACTTTAGGAAAAGTAGACAGAAAAAAAGATTTTACCAGCAAGTCTTTGAATATGCACATGATATGGGTATACTTTAAAAAAAAAAAAAAGAATAGTGCTGAAACTTGCTGTCTTAAGCTAGGGAAGATGTTTCCTTCCTAGACACTTCATTTAGCTGATCTTAATATGTGTGTCAGAAGGAGAAGTGTTGCTTCTCCTCATTCCAGGAAATGTTGATTTCCCCATCTTCTCTCCAGGCCTGACTGTGGGTGGAAATCAGCAAAACAGCTGATGACTGCCCTTTGCTTCTTGGCCTGTCCCTGAATTACCTGGCTGTCCTACATGGGCAGGAGTGCAGAAAAGTAAAGAATTCCTGGGTTAAGTTTAACTTCTAATTATCTTAAAAGGCAAATACAATTAAGTAAGGGGTTGACAAAATGGACACTGGCAGATACTGTATCCAGCATTGAAACTGAAAGGATCAGACAGCAAGACTGACTCTGTCCATTTTAAGAGGAAGTCCATGTAAACCATCTGTGTTTTACGGAGCATTTGGGCATAATGCTGTCCTTGAAGGGTGCCAGAGAGGAGCCATCTATGCTTTGACATGCTTTCTCTTTACCCTGCGGCAATACTGGTAAGTCTGGCAGTCCCTTGATACCCAGAGATGCAGTGAGCCCAGGTGCTGGTGCATGAGGAGGATGTACCATCTCACCTGCCAGAGCCATGCAGGCCTGGAGTCCTGCCAGAGTGAGATGGTGCCACCGTGCAGGGCACTGCACCGGTACATGGTGATAAATCCTGTTTTCCGTTCATAACAAAGCTGGAGAAGCAACATGCTGCAATGTTTCCAGCTCTCTATCTGATAAAAAAGGATGTGTCCTTTTGGGCCTGTAATATGGTAATGTCCTTTCATGTGAAGGACACAGACCAGAGTGCTTCAGATTTTGTTCAAAGAAAAGAGGCCAATGTTTTTATTTTGAGGCTAATACTTGACATTTCTGTTCTTCCTCGTGCCATTTCTATTGGGCGCTTGTCCGGAAGGGGCCAAGCTGTGAATTGTGAGGCAAGTATGTACTGGTCTAATGACTGTAACAGACATGGTCATCAGCAAAGTTGCTTGCAGAAGACTGTGCAGAAGCCAAGTAGGGATTAAAAAAAATAGTTGAGGGGCAGTGGAGGGGGAGATTGATCTTTTCTGGTTTGAACTGTTTTATTTTTGAGAGAAACCATATGAAGAAAATCGCTCTTTATCTTGGAAGTAAAGAACTTGGTGTTTAATGTTTGGTGATACTTAATACAATGACTTGAAGAACATGAGAGTGGAAAAAATAAATGAACCCATTGCTGTGTTAGGGCACCGAACACTGAATGCCCTGCCTAACTCTCATACGGTGTGTGTGAACATTGGTGCAGTGTTTTGGCTGTATGAGACCCTTGGCGGGGGAGGAAGATGACAGAGGGCTCCACTTGTCTTTTTGAACACAAGTCTGCTTCCCAACAGCTGTTTGTAAATTAATTTATTAGTGGGAGAAATGGTTCCATTCTTACAAGAAAACACTGGGAGAATTTAGGTTATTCATCATAAACTTCAATATCTCCTTGTTCAACTTGCTTTACTTTGCTTTCTTGTGGTAGGCACAATAGTGGCTCTATTGAAACAGACTTTTTTTTTTCCCTCTGCAATGTGCTTCTGAAGTAGGTAGATTACTAATGATGCAAATAGATTTGGATTGTGCAGAAACTGTGCCTTAAAAGGCAGTACCTGATTTGTAGAAGAGATGGTAGAAAACAAGCTTTCACAAGCAAAACTGCTGCTGAGTTTTATAAATAGTACTGCACTGTAAGCAGATGGCAAATGAAAATGGTTTGGTTCCTCACAGCTGGCAGATACTTTATCTTTGGGCATCGGGAATTCTGCTTCACCTTCACATGCTTAACTGTCAGAAGTATTTGTTACCATCTACTGGTTGTCCTGGTTATTTGCAACACTGGCAAAGACAGCATATTGGCTGTGGCAGAATGGTAGGGTCATGTGTTTATTTTTTGGGCAAGACATTGACGTTGTAGCTCGACATCCTGGTTGGTCTAGTTATAGGGTTTCTAGTTCCCAGTGGGTCAAGAAGGCTAGGGCCAGATATTGTGGGGTATGGAATAAACTCAGTGTGATGGCTTCTTAAATGCATTTTGTTAGGTTAAATGTGTACTGGCAGAATTTGTATTGGATCAGACTTGCCTGTCTAAGCTACTATGACTTTTTGCTCGTTGATACATCACCCATCTTCAAGCATCTGGTGTAAATATAGCACATGCTCCAGGTTAAGTGCTCTGGCTACTTCAGTAGAATCAAGGTTCTGCACCAAAGCCAGATCAAGTTTGTGCCGCTACATAGCCTAAGGTTTTTCTATTATTTTACTTCCCCCCCGACACCTGCACTAACTGGTATATTTTACCATGGAACTGTAGCTTGGCAAAGTGAGGAGTTACTAAGCTTGCTGGAACATGGGTTTGGATGTGGAAATACGTCATTTCCATTTCCATGACTTAGTGTTTGCCAGACTGAGGCACTGTGTGACCAGCCCTGCTCTTTTCATCCCAAAATTCACTGCAGGATTAAGAACCTGCTCCCCAGGTGGATTGTTGTACTCTTCTAGTCAAAGCAAACGCGTAACAAAGTCCTGTAGCTCCCAGCAGCTCCTGCTCGGTGCTTGTTTGGGGGAAGGGTATACAGAACAGTGGCTTTAAAGGCAGACCAGGCAGGCATAGGTTCGTTTACAGAGCTCCAGAGGCTCCACATGCAATTTGTTTGTTCTGGGAGGCTGAGGCTTCTGTTGCAGTTGAAGGACCCCTGAAGGTGCAGCAGTCACCGTGCAGCTTGTTCACCAATCGGGGTTTGACTTCACTGTGAGTGCAGGGCTCTGTGTTCCTTCCAGCATAAGTCCAATTATATGATCTTGGTTTGAAGAGAGGTGTGAGATTCATCTTCAGCAAACAATAATCTTCTTAGTGGGCTGTAAATTGCAAGTAATGATTCCTTCCTATTTTTAGAAGTGATTTGCACCATCAGCAGTGATGGTGAAGACTAGAATGGGGCAGGCTTGGAAAGCAGAGTGTTTATTGGACTGTGTTCCTGTTGCTGAAGCTATATGGACTGTTTCAGGGCTCTTCTTTTGTCCTCCCTCAGGGTTTCTAAATCTAGTCTCCGTTTGATTCTTTTCTTTCTCTTTCAGGACAATTATTCTGAGTGACGGCCCTTGCAAGCGCTACTGAGTGGTTATCATGGGCTTCATTGCCTTTCTGAAGACCCAGTTCATAGTTCACCTCCTCATTGGGTTCGTCTTTGTTGTGAGTGGACTGATCATTAACTTCATTCAACTATGCACGCTAGTCCTCTGGCCCATAAACAAGCAGTTTTATCGACGAATAAACTGTCGCCTTGCCTATTCGCTTTGGAGCCGTGAGTATGCTTGAATGGGGTGGGAGGGCTGGGCTGGGCACTGTTTTTTTGTTTCTCTTTTTGTTAGTTGAAGAAAAAATATACACACACACGTTTATGTATACACACACAGACAGAAGAAAGAGAGAAATGGTAAGTTAGATGCACTCTTTCAGAGCAGTGCAAAGCAGCCATATTTTTTTAAATATTGAAGAAACATACAAAAGTCAAGGGACTGATACATATTATCACTCTATTAAAGAAGTAGAGCTCCTCCCCACCCCCAACCCTATCCTGACTGTCTCCTTTAGCATCAGAGCCTGTGCTAAATGATGGGGAAGGGGGAATTCACAGAGACTGCTTCGGGTATTGAGCATATGCATGATATTGACTACTTAAGAGCCCAAGTCGACTGTGTGGTCTACAGAGAGAGATGTCTCTCTTGAAGTATCTAGTGTAGATGACTCTACAGCTGAGTTGTACGACAGCTTCAGAGTCCTCTTACACCCTACAGTGTCCATCTGTGACTCCAGTGTCTCCTCTTGTGAACAATTTGTCGCTCTTTTCTTCTTCTACCCGTCGGACGGCTCTACAGGGAGTGCAGCTGCTTTGCTCTTCTCTTTCAAATCTTTGCAAAGCTTCCTCCCTGTGGGTGGCTTTTTTTCCCCTCATACAGTTTAAGAAGGGATTAGATTTCTGAAATGAATGTTTAGAGGGCTCCTTAGTCCAAATGTCACCTCCTGTTTCAGCAATGAATCATCTAATTTGTTTCCATTCTCCATGCCCTCCCAGTATGCACGGCTACTTTACCTTAGTGCTCAGCTCAGCATCCAACTCCCACTTTGGGTAAATGAGTCATCTAAATGAGTACTTAAATTACCATTGAGTGGTCCACTACAGGCACCCACATTTCTTAATCATTGATGTGAAGTACTCCCAACAAAAACTCTCTAAAGTATCTAGCTGGGTTTCTTTTTAAGGTGCTGTCCATGTCTTTCCTATGCTTTTTGTCCTACCTATTGAGAATGTTGTCTGAGAAGCACAGGAGAAAAGAAATTAGAAAGCGGCAGGCAAACTGTTAGGAGAAAAAGTCTTGTAATGGAAGAACTTATGGGTAAAAACTTCAAAATTAGTTTGGTTGGAGGGGAGTTGAGGTATATGGGTTTATTTTTGTTGTTGTTGGCTTGCAAGAATTTCTCAGTGTGCTTTTAATAATCTGCAGTCAGATCTTGTTCAGAAAACTATTGTTGCACTCATAGTCTGGCTTTTCTGAGGATATGAACTGCTTGTGCCTGTAAGGCCTGTAGGGTCAGACACTTGATTTCTACAAGTTAGCATTGTGCATGGAAAAATCATGTTTTAAATGCTTATGTATTGTATCTTGTATACACTGGAAATAACCTACACCACTGTTGAAAAAGGTTTAGAGAAGCCAAGCAGATAATTGGCTTGTACCTTTGATGACCCCTTGTGTATAGCTTATTATAAATTAAATGTTTGAGAAACTAAGCTATGAAAATCAATGTAAAAGTTATATGGGGTGTGTATATATGTGTATATATATATATATGCTGATGTGCTGATAGCCTGTAATGGAAGAGCTGACAGAATATGCACTTCGGTTGTAATTTATAACAAGTTAAGTAAGCCATGTAAATGCAGCAGTTCAAATGTTGCCATTCATCATGAAATGTGCTTTGTTATGTGGGAGCCTTTTGCTAATGAACCTGTAGGTTGATGTTTTGTTCCAGATGCTATGTTTTGCCTGCTTACTCCAAGCTGTTTACTTTTAGGCTGAGAGTGTTCATATCAGAGCTGTCTGGAACAGAATCTGCTCTGCCTGCCTGTCAGAGGATGGATGTGCAGGGGTAGATACATGGGTGATTGTGCTATAAACTACAGCCTACTGAAAACCAGGCTCCAGTCTTATGGTATCTCTTCTCAGATATATAAAACACACCTTCAGAAGGGGAAGGAGATAGACTTTCTCCAATGTTCATGGCAGATGTTTGGGATAAAAAAAACCCCATCTTGTCTCAGTGTAAACCCTTTGCAGCACATGTCAATGATGACGGGTAGTCTGTTCTTCAGACTCTCCTACATCAGCTCCTTTCAGATGACTCGTGCCTTTGGATAGCGCAGCCCATTTGATTTAGTCTGGTTGCAAAAATAATCTCTCAAATATTAGTTTTTTCAACTGAGGGGGGTGCACTGTGCCTCTTGCTTGCTTTGTTTGCAGGTAGAGGCTGCAAGCCTGCCTGCTTTCGTGTGTCGGAACCCTGGCCACAGGAGGGAGGTTGTTGTAGCAAGCAAGATGTTGCTTGTCCTCTACAGGAAGTATCCTGAGCCATGCAAATGTTATCATCTCTTTGTTCAGAAGGATGGGCTTGCTGTAGCACTGGCAGGATTGGTGTCACAGAAAATAACTGTAACCCACACACCAAAAAAAAAGGAAATGAGCCCACTCCTTGTTATAATTACATCATTTATCAGTACACTTGTGAAGGACAATCTGTTTCTTCATATTAGTTCTCTGGCTCATCATCCGTTATCTCTCAGTACTGAAGTCTGGCAAATCTCTTAGCAGAGCTTCCTCCACTATTTTATAGTGAATGGTACAAGAAATGCTCTGCAGAAAATCATCCACATCTGACTCTGCAGTTGTTTTTTTTCTGCATTAGAAGAAGAAACACACCCATTTTAATTTATTTTTTATAAGAAATTGCAGCACCTTTAGCAGGTATTTGAGATGTTCCTCCTTCGCACATGGACAGCAATGGAAAGGGAAAGTCATTCAGAGTATCACACTGAGTTTGGTACCACTACTTCATTCTCCTGGCCACCTGCTTGAAAGAGCATAGGAAGAGCATAGTAACTGAGGATGCTCTTGGCTGTCCTCCTTTCCTTACTGAGCCAGGATAACCAGAGCAAGAATGGTAAGTGGTCACATCATTTGCAAAGAGACAAAGCTGGAAAGCAGTGACAGAAATCACCAGTTGGTATAACGATTATTCTGTCTTTCCTCAACTGTATTTCCAGTTGACCGTGTTTACAGTCTCTTGATCAGCAAGTTGCATAACCTTGTCATGCCTCCAAATGAGTGTCCTGACAATGGCACACAGGAATAACCTGGTGGCTAAGTAGTCCTGTGGGAAATATAAGTGAAAAACATAAAGTTAGAGAAGCTATATATCTTCAGAAGACCAGGATTGGTTTTCCTTATCATTTACCCAAATACTCTATTTGCCTTCTCTCTGATGTGTTCTGAAATTGGAAACACTCTTATTTAGCACTATGGATAAATTACCTTGTTGTAATCCCAGAAGCCCTTGAGCAGGAAGGGGCTGATCTGTTTTGCAAAACCAAGGCATCTTGATGGAAAACTGAAATACTGCATGGCAGAACGTGGTGTAGAGAACCGAGGGAGCACTTTTCAGTTTTGACCCTGCAATTTTGTTTCAGTAATGTAGGAAGAGTTGGACTTTTTAACTGCCGTATTTGTGCAACCTAATTTTTATTGCATCCATATCTCATTGAAATGAGAAAATAGAAGTGACGACAGTTTGCATGGACACAAATTTTCCTACTGGGAAGTTGAACTGTTCTTGTACTTTTTATAGTTGTCCCACGATACAAGCAATGCTTTCCATCTGCTTGGTTGTACACTAATGAGAGAAATAGGCTAACCATAGCAACTACATTCAGTGCATACTGAGTTTAAGTGGAAAGATTTTTTCAAGATGTAAAAAAGGAAGAGCGAGTAACAAAGGAAATGATCAGAGTAACAGAGATGCTGGGATAGTGAGAAGCTGGAGAATATACAGGAGAAAGGGCTCATTCTTTCTTCTGCAGTAAAAGAAAGACAATTTACCATTATTGGCTTTGCCCAGGTATTTTGATAAATTATCTTGGTTCTCTACTACTTCTGACTCTGTGTTGCTGACCGTAATACAGAACAAATAGAGTCCTGTGTTGTAATACGAAGATCTAATGCAGAAGATCTATGACACTGTATCCCTTTAAAAATCCTTTATTGGTCTGTTTACCTCCATAAAGCTTGTTTCATGTTGATTAAAAGCGTTAGGCTACATCTATGCATAATTTGTATTCCACCTGGGAGGAACTGTACTCATTTAGTTGAGCAATCAACAGCTCAACTGTCTGTTTTGGGTTTTTTTTTCTAGTAATCATGAAATTTCACATTCATAATATAATGCCCAAACTTGTCACTAGTAAGAACTCATTAAATGATTCATAATGCATATAACTAGTGCCCTAATTACCACTTAAGAATAGTGATGTTATTTGTTCTATACCTGTCCGAGCTTTCATTCCATCCCTGCTGGGTTGGATTGAAAAGGTGACAGTGGCATTGGGAGGCAGAAGGGACCAGGCACTGAGTGGGGCTGGAGATGAAACACTAAATGCTTTCTGTAAGTGGCACCCCTAACTCCTCTCTCCAACTTCATCCTGTTTGTCAGAGTTGGTAATGCTGCTGGAATGGTGGTCAGGCACAGAGTGCACCTTGTTCTCAGATGAGGCCACAGTGAACACATTTGGGAAAGAACATGTCATCATCATCTTGAATCACAACTTCGAAATCGACTTCTTGTGTGGCTGGACTATGACAGAGCGCTTTGGAGTGCTAGGGGTATGTGAGGCCATGAGCTTTCCCTTCATTTGGAGGACTAAGGTCTGTTTAAAGCCTACCAAATACAGTACAGTTTCTTTGTATTTGAGTTTCCAGATGTTACTCCATCAGCTCTTCTTCATGTTAACTTTAATGTCTTTGTTTGATCTCACAGTACAAGTCATCACATTACATTTTTTGTTTGTTATTTCTGTTTTTCTCCAAGAGTTCCAAAGTTCTTGCTAAGAAAGAACTACTATATGTGCCCCTAATTGGCTGGACGTGGTACTTCCTTGAGATTGTTTTCTGCAAAAGGAAATGGGAAGAAGACAGAGATACGGTTATTGAAGGATTAAAACGTTTGTCTGATTATCCTGAATATATGTGGGTAAGTGTCAAGTTCTTCTTCTAGTACTGATTTCTAGAAGTGAAATGGTGACAGATGTACTCATGTGGTACTGTATCCTTATATATCAGGAGAAGGTTTGCTCACTGCTTTCTTCAAGTGTTGTCAAGGAACTGTGTGCTGCTTGAGGAGGTCTTTTGGGATGTGCTGGTAAAGAGTTGCTCTCTTTACCAGTAGGTAATGGAAGTATTTTGAGAAACAGTTCAGAAGCTTGCACAGATGATTAGAAACTTGACAATAATTTAAAAATCAGGCTTGTGTAATACTGGCTCAGTTTTGTCTGAACTGAATTTACCTTTAAAAAAAAAAAAAAAGCCAGTATTTGACTACTATGTTTATATAACTTAAAGCTACATTTTCTGAGGTAGGCTAAAAAGACAACAAACAAAAAAGTATTATCTGGACAAGTGAGTGAATTTGGGTGGGAGGGATGCACAGACCATGTGGACTTTGATATGAAGTTATTGTTAGTATGGTCGTTGGTTTGAGAAGTGACTGTTTTCCTCCAAAGTCTATGAGAATATATGGCAAGCTTACATCTGCTTTTGCAGTCGTGCTTTTCCTTTTTATTTTCATGTTATTTGAAGTCAAGGGTGAAACATCTATGTTTCATTATGCGCAATGTTCTTAGATTTTACTGCAGCAGCACAGTGCTATAATCAACCTGTTATTCTCTACCTCTGAATGCAAATGTTTTGATAAATTCGTTGGTTAGCTTTTCTAGCAGTACATGTAATGTACAGTTACTTGGCTCATGAAACATTTTAAGAGGCTTTTTGTACATTTTAAGTGATTTTTCATTAGTATCCAGTACAGCTTGTTAAAATGAATGGTGAAATAGTAAGCCTCAATTAGCACTATTGTGAATGTGTAATAAGTGATTTCCTATAATTACGAAGTTATAAAAAACAAGAATCTGGAGAATGTTTTTTTTAAATTACCTGATTGCTTGAACTAAATTAATATATATCCTGCTGTTTAATGTGGAGAAAAAAAAAAAAAAAAGAAAGAAAAAACCCTGTCAGTTACAAAATCTCAAGACTGTACATCAGTTGCAGATCTATACATTTTAATGATTCTACGATTGAGAACCAAGGACTAGTCTCTAGGGAAAACAGCTCAAAAATATAAATTCAAAATGTAGTTAGCATTGATTATTTAAATCAAGACTTCCTGCTTGGTAATTTAAATTGTGATTAAAATTGACTTGAGAGCATCGATTTCCTAATTTTTGTGCATTTAAATGCCACAGTTAGGGCTGTATGCACAACCTTCTTTCGTGAGGTCTTTCTAATGCGTGTGCTGAAGCACAGTCCCTCCCTCACAGACTTGGTCTAGGAGGATCATTGCATCATTAAGCACATTTGGGTGAGAATTTTGTACAGAGGAAAGAGCTTGCATTGCAGACCAGGGTTGAGATTTTGGTGTTAAGCTCGGTGCCTTGTGCTTTCCTCACCTCTCAGTGGTGATGGTTGCTCAGATTTTCATAATGAACATGCCCTCAAGGTCCAAATGAAGATTCCAGGACCAGCTCCCTTTCAGTGCATTCTGGCAGGTCTAGCACTCATGTCTGGCTAAGTGGCTTAAACATTCATATAACTTGCCTTTTGTGATGCACAGTAGGTGGATACATAGAGGAAAAAGTCAAGCAACTGCAGTGCTGAGAAATAGCAAATGTATAGATGCATTCAACAAGTCTTTCCTTTGAATTGCAACAATACAACATTGCATGATACTGCTGTGAGAGTAGTAGCAACCTGCCCTTCTCCCCCTCCATCGCTTGCTAGGGATGCAGAGGTCGGTGCAGTCAAATGCAGTAATGTTTTCCATTGCTGGCTTAATGGGAATGATACCCATCTCTCAAAAAGGCCAGGGATAAACAAAAAATCACACTAGGGCCGTCAGAAGGGCTTTTTTTCCTCTTGACTTTGCATTGCTTCTGGTCTCTCTCTCAACTAGAACAGAGGCAATAGAGACTGAAGAAAGAGACTGATGTCTTTAATAGTTGCTTAGGATACCACTGTCAGATTGGTGGCTTCCAAGATGAAGAAGGTAAAGGTTTTTAAGGAAAGGCACTTTTTTCTTATGAATACAACTTCTACAAATGCAAAAAAAAAAAAAAAAAAAGAGTCAGAAAAGCTTTCAGACAAACAAGTCTGTCTTCAGATGAGTAATTCTGGTACAGTACAAATTTTAGATGAGGTAGCTAGTGATTAATAAGTTTTTTCCTAAAGTGGTCACATACTTATATTCAGATTGCTTTTCCTGATTTGTAGATTAGTTCATCAGCAGCCAGCCAAAACTTTCAGGGATTTTTCTTTTTTTTAAGTGTTTCAGGTATAACCATTTAGACTTCTTGTCACCTTAAATTTGGTACGGTTGTTGTTGGAGTTAATTATAATTTTAAATGAGTTGTGAGGTGGTGCTTGTGCCTAATACATGATGATCTAATGAGACAATTGAAGTGTGTGCACATGCATGGATGTATGTTTGTTTTACACAAACACTCAGTATACTGCTTGCTTTCTTTTGATCTTAAAATGTCTTCTTTTTTTGCCTTTTGTCTCATTGTACTAGTTTCTCTTGTATTGTGAAGGAACTCGTTTTACAGAGACCAAGCATCGTATCAGTATGGAGGTAGCAGAATCCAAGGGGTTACCTAAACTGAAATACCACCTGTTGCCCAGAACCAAAGGTTTCACCACTGCTGTCCAGTGTCTCAGGGGAACAGGTACTGGCAAGCTGCTACTCATTCTTTGCATTAATTGTAATGTGTTGTTTAGTATACGATGTGTAGCACTGTGTAATATACTCTCTGGTTTATCATGTCCATTGCAATTAGTGAGTTGGCAGTGTTAAGCATTCAGCACGTCAGATGTTAATTTGTGCCACATAATTATCCATAATTCTCAGGTATCAGTCTTAAAAAAATAATAAACCTTTCACGTATGTCATTGTTGCTTAGTTCATCAGGTTCTCTTGTGTTTTGATAACACACATGCAACACAGATGAGAGTGTCAAGTGGCTGATACACAGAAATACAACATGTAAACACAAAGTAGGGAAGGACTCTGCTACCTGACATCACAAATGCAAAGTGCTTGCACAAGGCCCTGTTGCTGTCTGATGCAAGGCTGCCAGCAATGTGGTTGCTAGAATTGCTGATATAACAGCCCTATTTTCTTTTTTGTAACAGTTTCAGCAGTGTATGATGTAACACTAAATTTCAGAGGAAACAAGAACCCGTCTTTGTTAGGAATTCTATATGGAAAGAAATACGAAGCAGATATGTGTGTAAGGTGAGCATATAATGATGGAGGTGAGCCCTGAGGTGCATGCTTTGGCATGTTGAACTTTATTCAGATTTTACAGGGTAATGTCCTTTGCTGTAGCCCCCTTTTCCTTGTCCTTCAAGCTTCTCTGCTGGCTACAGAGACCTCTCCATTTCCCCCTTGCTTTAGTTTGCTTTCATGTGTGAGACCCCATGATACCACCTAGCAGGTGAGAGAGCACCGGGCAGACTTTTTAAGCTTGGGTATCACCATCTTGTTCAGGGGGCACTAGTCTGCATTTTTCCTTTCTCTTCTGGGAACAGAAAACCAACTGTTCTGCCCTCTTCCCAGTCCCCTGCAAGCATATGCATAGTATAAATAGCTTGTCCAACATGAGTAGCCTCTTGTAGTAAATGGTGTAAAGCCCCTTGCTGTGCCAGTTCCTCTCCTTCTCTCATGTGATTTGATTAGCAGATTAGAAGTTAAATAATGCTGAAATTCAGATATTGTATAACGAGGTGATGCATTCCTCACAGTCCTCGTTACTTTTTGACTACAAGAGTAACTGCTGACACCGAACTCCATGCAGCACATACACACGTGCATGCACACTTGTACATACTTTCTCTTTCTTGCTTTTTCCTTGTTGCCTTCTGCTTTAAAGGCTTCCATGTGATCATAAAAACTGCCACCTTTTCCTGTTCAATTTCTTCTTTTCTCTTGTATGTTTGCACTTGACAAGCAACCTGGTTGTTCTTTCCAGTTCTTTTGCAGTTCACTTCTGCTTCTCTGGGGACTTCACCCACACTTTGGAAAACATTGCTACATTCTGGTGATGAGTTTGATGTTTGGTTTTTGAAAGGAAGAACTAAAAAAATAAGACTTGTTAATTCCCCCCACACCTTCCCCTCTTATTGTGGTTCTGTGCATTGCAGCCATGTGGCACTGCCTCTATATGTGGCCCTTCTACATGACAGATGTGTCTTGCCAGAACCTCCAAGGGTTAAAGACTTCATAGGGAGTCACATTGATTATCCATTGTGTCAAGGTATAGCAGCAGCATTTTTGTGAAGGAAATGCTAACCCAAGGGAAGCGAAGTGCTGCAGCCCTGATGGGGAAGGGAAGGACATACATTCCAGTTCTGTTCTCAGATACTATAACTACAGCATTTTAGTCTTTGAGCTGGAAAGAAGGCTGCAAAAGTGATGGGGAAAGAGAGATTAGCCCATTTGCAAGGGGTTTCATTGTGACTAGTTACACTTTCTGAACATATTCCTGATGAGGAAAGTAAACAAGACAACTTACCAGCAAGCAAAACAGCTCATCAGGTCGTTGCCATCTGTAATTCCTTACTGATGGCAGACTCATGGCATATCTAGCTAGATCTGGGATACACATATGTAGGTGTACATCTCTATAACTATACATAGAAAAGCAGCTGCATTCAGTTAAATATCCTGTGGCTTCCTAATGGAGATTCCAGTTGCTTTTATTTGTTGGTGAGGTAGTGGGAAGAAGAAGAGAAATGCAGTTCTCAGGAGTGGATAGAAGAGGTTTTAGCTCATAAAATTCTGTTGAGGGTGAGATTGCAAGATAAAATTAATTGTACCCTATTAAAGAAACTAATGACTGCGTTCAGATAATTTTGATTTAAAATATGTTTGTGAACTGAATCAGTATTGTTTAGATGCTTCTCTACATTTGAGGGTTTTTTCTCCGTTTTGGAGAGGAAGCTATGAAAATAAGGGAAATATTTTTACGGATTTTTTTCTGAAAATGGAACGTGTCTTTAATGTGCCAGAAGACTTAGCTTAGCTCAGAGAGGCACATAAGCCCTTGGTTTTGGTACATGCATATGCTGTTACCTGTGCAGAGGTAAGAAGCTCAGCTCTCTGCAGAGGATTTTTGCCTGACTGGCTCCAGAGAAAACCAGCTGAATGAACAAACGTTATTGCTGTGATCACCCTCTGGTGGTGATAACAGTGCAGCGACAACTTCACCAGGGAGCTTTCAGGGAGTTACTTTTTACTGAACTTTTGTTGAGTATTATTTATATTAATTGAGCAGCCCCTCATGTTAGAGCTAATGAAAGTAAGTCTCTATAATCTGGGGTTTGTTTTTTTTTATGGGGTGCAGAAATTATTAACGTTTTATTACAATATCTTCTCTCTGCTGCTGCAGGCTCAAAGGCTTTAGTTTGTACTGCAGAAATATATTCCCTGATTAAATAGCAGCAAATCATTTTAATCTGGGATCACTATGTATAGAGCCTTCCCGGAGGTCACCCTTCTGTTCTTACTGCCCTGCTGTAAGTCCAAGTGTTGCCAAAATACATTTGAGCTGAGGGTAGGGAACATGCCCTCTACACACCAAGCAACTTATTTCTGAATTGATCCAGGACTTAGATATGTGCCATTAAGAAAGGAGATGGTACAGTTGTGAGTATGTGTTAGTGGCCTGTCTCAGGAAATAAAAGAATGCAGGAGAATTGCTAGCTCTTTGCCTCTTGGAAGAGGCTCTTAAAAGGTGGCAGTTCTAGGTGAGGTCAGGTCAGTACCTGGAGGGGGGAATAATTTTTGTATGTACCCAGAACTGCATGACTCAATCTCTAGGGCTGGAGAGGGAAAGAAGAGAAGTACAGGAGCTGTGGAAGATGTTTTCCTTAGAGTTTATATGAAGTATATTTGTAACCATCCCTCCTATTCCTTCCAAAATATGGTTTTCACTAAAGAAATGTTGCAAACAATTATCTTGGGAGTTTGCCACTTGCTTGTCTTTTCCCCGTTCTGGGTGCCTCTGTCTGAGCTCGCTGGGAATCAACCAGTGGTGGTTCTGGTGTTTGAGTGGGAAAGGCTTGTTTTATTAATGTGCTCTCAAATTGATAGGAGTTTGTACAGTTTCTTTTTTTTTAGGAACCTGAGCTCTAGGTGGAGAGTCAGACTTAAGTCCCAGTTCTCTGCATTTAGGATCTCTGCCATCAGTGACAATGTTACCTGTAGCTTATTAATTGAGTAGAAGATCTTCCCTAGCAGAGGTCTGAAGTCAAATACCTGGATTTTCCCTTAATTTTTTTTAAAATTTTTTTTTTTTACATGACTCTACTAAACTAGGAGATTTCCTCTGGAAGATATCCCTCAAGATGAAAAGGAAGCTGCAAACTGGCTTCATAAGCTTTACCAGGAAAAGGTAAACAGCTTTACTTTCTTTCCTCTCTTTGGGGACTTTCACAAGGGTGGTGTATTAAGGCACTGAGTAATGCACACACTTCCAGGGGATGGAGAGAAGAGATGGAAATATTATGTATAATTTGGCAGCCATCCCTCAAACTGCTGGAAGGAGCAGTACAGAAGAGCCCCTTGGTTGCAGAGGGCTGGCCAGTGAGTAGGTCTCAAATTGCCAGGAAGCACAGTGGGATTCAGAGATACGCCTGAGTTGCAGAAGACTAATAGCAATCCAGTCTTTTTATTCTGTAGCTCTTGGGTCTCTGTCATATATTTCTTAAAGCTCCATTTTCTCTGCGGGTGTTTTTAAACACTCGGGAAGAATGATGACATGTCAGGGACAGCCAGACCCAGCTCTTAGCCTCAGTTGTCCTTTGCTTTCATATTTCTTTCACTGTCACTTTCCTTCTGCCTCCTGTTAGTAGCTTTGCAGTGGTGTGTGACATGGTACAGACAGTCCCCAGGATCAGCTGCCTGACTGATGTAGCACAGCGCCAGCATGCCTTCAAACAGCTCTGAGCTTTTCCTCATGTCTTTTTTTTTTTTACCTTGGATGGTTCATTTCTTAACCGTAGATTTAACAGTTCTGTGGGGAGGAGGAGAGAACTGTAATAAGTGTCGCCCAGCCCTAATTGGTTGAATTTGAAATGTGTACCTCAATTTTTTTGTGTTGCTTATCTTTGTTGGAAAACAGAGGAGCACAGAAGCTTTAACTTTTTTGGGTTTGTTCTGCTATGATGACCCAGGCTGCAGCATTCTCACATTTGTACATAGGCAGCAGATTGTTCTGAGTTTCATTTTGTTTATTTTAATGTAATTTGTTTGAATAGCTAAGCACTAATTCAATCAAAGGAAGATAATTTACTTTGCAAAAGCAGTAGCTATCATCATCTTCTTCCCCAGCCTTCCATTAGCAGATACATCAAATATAATGGGATTAGAGAGCTTAAAATAAATATATATATAAATTTGGGATCTTGAAATCCTGCTTCCTGCTATGAGGGACGTGCCACCCTTGTGAAAAGGCTCTTAGATGCAAGAATTCCTTCTGGCATTGTCTGGCTGGAGGAGCAGACATGAAGGTGTATATTACAGCGGGTGGTCTTTCTCTGCTTGGCTCCTGCTTTGTTAAACAGTGAATGCAGAGCTAAGTAGATGCAGCACAGAGCATTCCCTCTGCTTGGCAATGTTCACTGCTTTACCTGCAGATGGACAGCTTGGTGTTCCTTGCTGGTGTTGGCTGTACCTCCATTCAACTTTGGTATGAGGTGTTGCTGGGGAGGTATTACTTACGTATGTGGGTATTTTACATATTGATCTTACGGTGATGTGTTGTCACTGGGATCCTTAAAGTGGATTTCCTACACAGAGGGTATGTCCTCAAAATGTTGTGTTACTGGTATGGAACACCTTGTGCTTCTCAGCCCCTGATAAGAGAAACAAGAAGAAAAACAGTTCAAGTGGGGAAAAATAAGAAATAACCAAAGTTGAGCCATCCTTGGTAATAGCTTGGAAACTCTGCAGAGCATTCTTACAAACTGAGGGCAAACTCTGGACATGCTGCTCCTGTGATGGATGTGTTTCATGATAGCATCCCTCTGCAGGCTCACCTGAAGTTTTGGAGTTATGGCTAGCACAGTGCTGTCTCTGCTGGTTAGTTTGTGCTTTACCTTCCTAGTCTGGCAGCATTTTTCTGCTGTGCTTTGCTAAGTCATGCTGACCTTTCTGGAAGTAAAAGTGGGAAGAAAAAGCATCCAGCAGAGAGGCAGGTGGTGGCTGAATTGGCCTCTGGCCTGATGCTGCCCTAAATTCCTAAGCAATTAAGAGAAGAGATGAAGGTGTTTGGTAGTGGAGATCTGATACGGTTTCAGTTTGCCTTTAAAGGGCTAGTATGGTAGCCTTGGTGGTCAACAGAAATGCCCAAATAAATGACAGCAGATGGAAATGGATGCTGTATACTGTTGATGGGTATTTACCACAGGTAATGTCCTTAATGTTGTCCTGGAGTTGACTGGTCTTAGTTTGCTTGGTGCAAACATTATGAACATGTTTTCTTCTATCTTCTCTTTTTCCCAGGATGCTTTGCAAGAGATGTATAATCAGGAAGGCATATTTCCTGGCCAGCAGTTTAAACCTCCTAGGAGACCATGGACTCTCCTAAACTTTCTTTTTTGGGCCACAGTTCTCCTTTCTCCTCTCTTCACATTTGGCTTTGGAGTTTTTGCAAGTGGATCACCTCTACTTATCCTTGCATTCCTGGGACTTGTTGGAGCAGGTAATAAATGCAGAGAATATGCTAAGCCCAGAATGCCATGTAACAGGAATCATTACCTCCAATAAGTTCTTTGTATTAATTAATGTGAATGGTGTTTGCAGAAGAGCAGCTGGATCTCACTCTGTAGTCGATATATCATATAGCATTTTTATTAATTCAAAAGCTTTAATCCAGGCAAGCTTGCCTTCATATCTTAGGCAATATCTGTAGCAATCAATAGCAAGTGGGTCTTGTAGACCATTATTATGGTGCCTGAGGGAGAAAATATTTTATTGTACACTTTGCCTGTGAATTAAGAAAAAAACACAAACTAACACAAAACCAAGCAAACAGGCAAATAAAAGAACACCCAGCCCCCCAAACAAAGAAACCTAACAAAACCCAGATGGGAGCCAGGAGGAAATATGCTTCAATGGGGATACCGCCTGTCCTGTTAAGCAACATAGAAGCATTAATTAAATTTTTAAATCTGGACTGTCCTCCTCTTTTTAATGAGAGCTGACCTCTGACCCCTGTGCAGCCTCATACAGCACACTGTTGGTCTGTAGTCACTGTTCTCTTCAGGACTGGGTTAACTCATGTTGGCTGTGCTTGTGTGTTTACTTATAACTTCTTAAGTCCTTGAACTGGTTTTAATATGCCTCTCATTTCTCTGTTATATTTTAAAGCTTCCTTTGGAGTTCGTAGACTGATAGGAGTAACTGAAATAGAAAAAGGCTCCAGCTATGGCAACCAAGAATTCAAGAAAAAGGAATAATTGACAGCTGCACTTCAGTACATGTAACCAGACTATGGTATCCAATTAACTTCAGTTAAAAAACAACAACAAACACTTAGAAACTATCTTTTTCTTATTAACTGATGACTAATATTAATGAATAAAACTTGAGCCAAGAATGAAGAATTTGGAGGCATCAACTGAAGAGAACGCATCAACTTTCTGCCTGTTTAAGGATTACTGTAGTCAAACTATGGGAGAAATTCTGGGATGGGGTGGAAGAAGAAACTAATTTTTCTTGCTTTGTTGGGGGACTTGGGGGTGGGGAGAGAAAAGAGGGCATTGGCCTTGGCCGTGTGCATTTTCAGATGACTGAATACACTGGTTTCTGTCAAGAGCACTACACTCACTTTTACAACAGGAGCCACTGAATGTTTCCTCTTGCTAAAGCCAACATAATGTTTGTTAAGTTCCAACTTTTTTTGTTAATAAGCCAGGAGAAAACAACCCTTCTTAAATTAATTGACAAACGTTCATTGGGTTAGAGTAATTTCGGAAAGGCTGTGTTGTCATGGCTACAGGTGAAATCCTATTTGTATGTTACACTGATACTCTTTATTTTCAGGCAGTGTCTTAAAACTTCTGAAATGTGAGCGAACGGATAGTGGAGTTTGGAAGCAGTGCATTAGTGAACAGCACATACTGTAGAACAGATCCACTAGTATTAAAAGAGTATAAAATTCTCATCATATCTCCTGCTAACTGCTCATGGCTGTTTAATTTCAAAATACTACTTCAGTCTAGAGTGTTGTTTGCCTTGTTTCACATCATTCAGATATGATAATCTTGGATCTGTTTGAGCTTGTTTTGGTTTCTAAATTAATGCTGACTGTGGGATTTGGAGTTGTGCAAAGAAGGAAATTTAGCCAATTGTTCTGATGTTTTCTCCTTTTATTTCTGTTCACATTTCTCATCACCAAAGTCCAGTTCAGCCAACTTCTCTCAGTAAATTGGGAGGCAGCAGCAGAAACCAGCACAATAGTTTTCAAAATGTCTTCTTTTATAAGAATTTGAAAGGGAGAGGTCTGTAGTAATCAGATTTTGAATACTGGCATCTCTTGACCTTCTGATGAGAGTTTCAACATTAATTCAAATGGAACCAAGATCTTACCCTGTGTGCTATAATGATAGGATGTGCTGCACTTTCTACTTGGTTGTGCTTTAGATGTTGATGTGAAGTATATTGCAAGGTGAGCTGTGCTGTTAAACATTAGAAAGAGTATGGGATCTCTTCAGGGATTTTAAATACCTTTAGTTTTGCTTCTTGACCCTTTGGTTGTTTTGTTTTTTCCCCTCTGAAAATTAGAGATTAGAATCATGGCTGTAGCTGTCTTTTTTCTTTTTACCTTTCTTTTTACAAGCGCACATGCCAAGATTTCTGTAGATTGCTGCTGTATGCATAGCTGGGAAATGATTTGCAAACGGATGGGAACTACCTGTGTGTTCAAGTCTGAAGGCCACGATCTGCATTTGGCTACGCTTAGAAGTTGGTGAATTGGGTTGCAGATCTACAGCTGAGGGCAGAAGCTGACCCTTGGGATCTGTGTTTTTAACCCAGCTGCCACTAAAATATTTATCTCACTTTTGTAAAGAGCAGATCTTATCAAAGTACTGGTCGTTATTTTCATCTTTGCTCTAGTAACCGAGATAAGAGAGTAATAATTTTACCTTATTTTCATATTTACTCTTAACTGTTGGAATGTAGCCTCTTCTCCCACAGATTTTTCTGTTTTCAAACACCGGAAGAGCAATTTTGTAACTTAGAAAAATATTTTACTTGGGGTCGTTAGGTCACTTGTTCTGTCATGCACCTCATTTTTGTTTGTGGTCTTTTCAACAAGAGGTTTTGAAGGATCACCTACGTTGTCTGTCTCCTGTTGGACTCATCCTCGCTGCATCACTCTACCCCATGGCCCCAGCATTAATGTGTTGTCTTTGTCCCCTCAACAAATCTTCCTTAAGACAGGGGATGCAAAACTGTTGTTAATGTTAGTGGAATTTGGAAATTTGCTTTGGGAGCTGAGGAGGACAGAGCCTAGCCATGGCTTTGGTTTTCTTTGCTGCATGTTTTTGTTCTCCATCTTTACATATGGTTAGACTTCCAAATGCTGATAAAGACAACTCTCTGCCTTTTCCCTGTTTTTTTAACCAGAGGACTAAAAGCTATGGGCTTTTTTTTCTTTATTCCTTTTTTTTTTTCTTTCCTTAAGTAATTCAGTAATGGATAAAATTCTTGTTTCTTAGAATGATGTTGCAAATACTGTATACTTGCTTCCTGAAGATGATATTGAGTAGATATGAATTGTACTGGCATAGTAGAGTGAGGCTTGCAAAGCAAGCTGACCCTTGACTGTTTTATACTTCTATTTTGAGCAGTAGATTAGCGGGCATGACAAGAATTTCACAAAATAAATCCCTTCTTAATGCTGAGAAGAGGGGAGAGGCTTAAAGGTGAAAGGAATTACTAGCCTTTCTCTTTATGGGATCTTTTTCTCCTCTTAGTGCATGTAACTCCCTATTAGGAATCATGGGATTAGTGCATGTACATCAAGGGGAGAATAATCAACATTTCATATTTTCTTACCGTAACTTATTGATCATGCTTTCTTTTTGAAAATATAATAATACATCATTACTTACTTAAATTTTGCTCTTCTAAACAAACATATCAGTAACCCTTTGGAAAACTGAAATATATAGCAGTGCACGAAACAGTACAAAACCAACATAAATCTCTTAATTTTGAATATTATCTTCTCAAGTAGGGGTTTTTATACACACACGCACGCGCACATGTACACAGAGTATGTATAAATTAAAATGACTGGAAATAGCTGAAGTGAATGTCACTAATGAAGATTAGTGGGTGGCTTGGATTTGAAAAGTGACCATAGATTTTATATCTTATTTTCTTCTGGTTTAATAGAACATAGCTTGTATATTTGACTACCAAGCCCTTTTAAGAGCAATAATAAACAAAAATATATCGTGTTTTTTGTGTTTTGCTTTTCAACCCTGCTAGATTTGATAAACTCAGAGCTATAGGAGTGTTTTCTCTCTACCTTTCAAAACTTTCATTTATTGCTTGATTGTTTAGCCTAAGTATACTGTTCTCCAGAATGGACTTGCAAGCGGACTTCCATGCAGTTCAGCATTGATGCCGAAGATGAATGGACTGGTGGGATGCTCGTGGCCTTTCCAGCACTTGTCATTGTTGTGAAGAGTGGTGATGTTGCTCTCCAAGTGGCATTTGCAGTTCCAAGGTACCATCGTGTTAACCTACATCTAAGAACCTGTTTTGAGAGCTTGGAGACTGCTGGCATTCTGGCATCTCTCTCAGTTAGGAAGGCACAAAAAGCTGGTGCCGAAGAAGACCAGATAACTGGTATTCAGAGGTCTTGGCTCAGTAGGGATTACAGTTCTCTGTTGCTCATTGTGGGCTGAATGTGCTCTTGCAATTGACTTTGGAGCAAAATATCTGTCTCTGGCACAAAGAGCATGGGCAATGTTCCTTTGTTCTGCTTTAACTTATCTTGAAGGGCTCTACACTTAAATGCTGACCAATGAATATGACTGCTACCTTTGTTCTAATTCACAGTCCTAGTATTCACAGAGAAAATGAGTGTGTCTGCTCACTTCCACATGATACCACTTGTCTCTGTCTACTCTCTATATTTGCTTGCTTATGTTTTCTGCAGCTGGTTCGGTTATGACATCTTAGCTGGAACTTGGAGCTTTCCAGTTCAACCTGTGGAAATCGTCTCACAGAGATGAAGTTTTGTCTTCCTGGCATTTTGGCACTGGTTGGCATGCTCAATCGGTCTGAAGTGGCATAGTTATGTTAAGTGATAATGTAGCTTTACTGCTTCAGGGCAAAACTGTATTAGGAAAGAGGAGGCCTTCACTAGGCCATCACGAATTTGTGACAGGTGCCTCTGTCATTGATGAAGCCAATAAAAGAGAGTTGGGACAAGGTCTTTGCTAACAGTTGGAGTAACTAGCAAGCAGGGTCACTGTATGTCTGATAAGTCCTGAAGATATATACAGTTTTTGTCAGGGACTACCCAAAAATCTGGCTCTGATTCAAGAAATGTGGTGTTGGAGGCTTTTAATAATGCTGAGTTCACACTATGCGGAGTGTTTTGGGTTGAAGACAGAGGATTGACATATTTTGGTGCATGGGAGAATTATGTATTAAGTAAGTCTATGGCCAAGACTGGAGAAACCTAGCCCAAGTGTGTTTCATTCAGATGCTGGAGGCTAACGCAGATAGAAGTGGAAAATCCGTTCCTAGTTTTCCCTTGAAAATTGAATGCAGTGGTGGAGCTCACAGCATCTCCTGGATGCCTGTGCACTTAGGTCACTTGGTGTGAAGTTTCTGCTTCACAGCAGATGGTTACTACACATTCTGGTTTATGCCTGTGGAAAGAAGCCTGTCTGTGTAATGCCAGTGCTGAATTTCCACTTTTACCAAGTTTGTCGCAGCTACTTGTTCCCATATTTCTGAACCCTGTGATCTGTAATGGGTTGCTCCAGGGCTGCCGGCGCAGAGTGAAGCTGGGATTTGAAGAAGATAATGATCACCCTGAGATCTACAAGGTGCATCACTGAAATGAGAAGGAACACCACAAGGTGCGTTGCTGGAAGGAGGACATTGGCAGGTCCAGCCAAATTCTTGCCCCAGGAAAAGCGATTGCCAGGAGCTTTGCAAACCACAGATAAACATGTATGTGGGGAGGCAAACTCTGACTCTAAAACGCATGGGAAAGCTCTCTGTGGCAAATTAGAAGGTAACCCTAGCCACGTTGACATGACTGGGGTCAGAATTTGTCTTGAAGGGCTTGTCTCCTTGTTACAGATGGCAACTCTTTATTTTTCCACTCTTCCTCCTATTTATCTGAAAGACTAGTTCATCTAAATGTCTTAGTAATCTCTCCATCAAGATCCTTGCATATTGCTGGTTGTGGATTTTTCACCTGCTGTGGTTTGAAGGGAGAACTTTCTGGAAGTCAATGTTACAGGGTAGCCACCAGAAAGTGTAATGAAAATATTTCACACTTTGGACTTGGGAAGACTGGATTGGTGTCTGTAAGCCAAACATACCTGGTTCTGCTGTCCTCAGCCTCTCCAGGTTTATGGAAAGCTGCCTGTGTTTCTCAAAATGTTACACTTGTAGTTACAAGTCACTCTTCAGTTTTTGAAACTGTGAAGAAAGTTAATTTGTGCACTTTCACTTTTGGGAGCAGTTGAGTGTTGCTGATTGTCTATTTCTATAAAGTTTTACATGAGCAGAAGCAGCATTTTATCCATTTAAGGGACAATGTATTTTAAAAATAGACACTTTCGCAGAAACTGAAATATAATCGTAATTCCAAAATCTAAATAGGAAGTGTTCTTTAGGGTGGAGGCTACCACTACCAATTTGCAGGCAAGTTTTATTGCTTTTTTTAAATTATTACTTTAGCCAAGGTGTATTTTCAAGGAAAACACACCGATTTACTAGTCACATGGAAATCTATTTGTGAAGGGAGGAAGAACAGGCAGCAGAGGCTAATGATTTTTTTTTTTCTTCCCAAGATATGGACTGGTTCTATATACCTCCTTTATTATGTGCATGTGCATCTGTGCAGACAGCCAAGCTGTGCCCCTTTGTGTCATTTTGCTT